TATATATATATATAAATTAATTCTACATAAAACTTATATAATTGTCACTTTTATAATTTCCACCATTATGTCTTTTCTTTGAGTGTACAAAAATTGATGGGAGGCGACGCATAAATACAATTCTCAAGTTTCTTTCGGATATGTATTCAAATACATAATGGATAATTTAAAAGCGTTTACTGTATGTTAATATATTTAATGTGTCTTTTGTACGCACGTGCCTTAATTTAAAAACACACGCCGCTTTTAACCTACATAAATAGGGACCGCGTTTTGCTTTTCAAGGTATTTAATTCGCGTAGCGTTATCGGCATTTTGAAAATCTATGTAGAATCTATAATTTTTGTAATACACGCATTTACTTTTTAGCAACGTAAAAATTTTCGTAACAAACTACAATTTATAATATAAATCTTTCGAAATATTGTGATCCGAAGCTACAGGATCTTCTCTTTTATAAAATAATCTCGCAATTAGCGCCAAATGTGGTTCGTTTAATTCAAGTTATTTTTTTTATCCAGTATTGAACTCGTTTAATATTAAGCGTACATACCAAATCAGATGCATTTACTGCCAAATAAACGGGGTAACTTTTCGTTTAGAAATGTATCAGCAAAACGTTTCTATTATTTGAACTTTTGGTTACAAATTCTAGAGTATTACGATTAATGGTATGTTATGTGTCGGACTTTCATGTGCACGGATTCCACCAAAGAGATGCATTTCTGTTAAACGAATGAATTTGAAATATGCCGAGCAATTAAAAGGTTCATTAACGGCATGTGGTCGCGTGAGATAATAGGGAGCGTATCGATTTCTGCAAAGGTCACGTGATGCTGGCTAGCTTTCCCGCTTTTTCTAAAGATATATTGGCCGTTCAGTTATTTTCTTTTAGTCTCCTAGACAAGGAGGAAACTGTTATTTTTTTTCCCCCTTATTTCCACTTTCGTTGCGGCCGATAAATCGATCGCACGCGCCTGTTGCGAAAAATAATGCGTAACTCCAATGGCCGTTCTAACAGCCCCTTTATTTAGCAATTATCATCGGACAATGCTGCAAAGCATACCCAATTATTCATATCGCTATTATAGAATTTATACTTGGTTCGATTTCTAGTTTGATTTGCAACAAACTCATTTTTAATTATTTGATTTGAGGTTAAAGAACAAAAAATGTTTAAATACATTTTAAATATTTTTTAGTGATAAAAAATAATAAATATTGAAGAAAATAATATTTATTATAAATAAATAAAGAACAAATATTTCATATTTTTAAAAACGTTTAAATCGTAATCGGAATTATGAGATCAAATATATGTTAACATTATACCGTGACTATAATAAACAAATAAAATGTTTTGATATAATATTTAAAAAGACATTTTTAATAATTAAGTAAAAAAAAAAATGTACTTGATCAACTAAATTCAGTAGTGCAGTCCTAAAAATAAAAATACCCTGATGCTTCGAACACAGAGTTACCAAGTTTTCGAAACACCAATCTGCAATATATGGAACAAATGAGTAAAAGAAAAGGAAATGCAATCGTTTCGTAACATTCGTTATATTTTTCCTTTATCACAGCTAATCCAGTACGGATTTGTATCGTACAAAATAAAACGGAGGGAGGGGGGGGGGATTTCGTATTAGTGCTCAACATTTTGTTATTAAACATATTTCTCTTTTTTTATGTAGCGTGATACTAATACATATTTTCTTCCAACTTATTCTATTGTACATGAACATTTGTAATATAAATTATCTTATATCTAATTAAAAAGAGCCTGCAGTTCTCGCAAGCAATCGATCTTTTCAGATAAACTCTATGTAGGTATACTACGTATTTATATGATTGGATGCTTTGGTTAGCTACGCTATGGCCCTGTTGTTATGTTAAAATTCAGATTTCAGTAAATATTTAAATGTTTCTTTTCCTTCTTATCGTCTTATTACACATAAAAAATTAGTTTTAAACAATTAAAGAAAGTACCTTGGCGCTGCGCCGCCAGGCTTCCGAAAAAAGTACCTTAGCGCCGCTAGTCAGGGCTCGACTACACCTATGACTAATTACTTTATTGAAATTAGAGTTTAGTTTTCAGTTATTTAACTCAATGTTTAGAGTTAATTAAATTGATTAAAATAGTAATTTTTATTCATTTCTGTGCGTGGCTCGCATAGTCAAAATAGTTTGTATCTATGTTGAGAGGAAGAACAGAATCGGTTTTGACGACACGTTTGCGTCCTGTTGCATGCGTAATAAGAACGATGACAACGTTTCTCTTGTGTGTCCGATTGTGAGTATGCTCGTTCCGTTTTACAACTCCATTGTCTATCCAATGGCATCGTGAGCCTCCTACGAGAGATGCTCGCAGCGATGCGAGATGCTCGCGAGTCTAGTTACGCGTTCCTTTTCCGCAAATGCCCTTCTCCATGCTTCATCTTTTTTGCAGCAGTGAAAAACGATCCAAATGGCAAGATATTGTCAGTATAACGTCTGTTGTGTCAACGTTTGTTGAGTCAATAATATTAAAATAATGTCACACACACATATTAAAAACGAAGTTCTATGTACAGACCAATGATGTGATAGATATTTAAATGATGAGACAAAATTATATGGCATAACTATGTACATGATGAAAAATATACGTAATTTTACAATATGTAATGTAAGCTAAGATACAATTTATTTTTCCGAAATAAATAGCTATAATTATGTTAAATAACAAAATAATTACTATTTTTTTTTTAATTAGGTAATAATTGCATGTAAATAAATATATATAATGTTAATTATTGTTTATTCACTAAATACGACTTAAAAACGACGATTAAATGACGATATATTTATAAAGACTAATATCTTGTTACAAATCCGTTACGTTTATTTTATGTCACTACTTAGTTCACTGATGTTAAGTGATGAAAAAAAACATCTTAAATCGTTATAATATAACGACATCCTGCTTGAGACGTTTATGCGAACGTTTAAGCAAACGTAAATTAATTAAGGGTGACGGGGAGACGCTATTTACGAGTAAAGTGGCTCGCACGTCGCGAGGTATTGCAACGAGAGGATGAGATTATCCGATACTTCGATTCGCGTATTTCTTCATCACGATATTCCCGTGCTCGTCTGAGGGCTTAGCTTGAGTCTTAGGGATGCGCTTCATTTATCTTCTAGAGGGAGTGCGCCACGGATTTCTGAAGGTATAGGCCAGACACACAAAGCAATGCATTTATACAAGTGTACAATTATAACCGGGTACAATTGCATAGCTTTCACGTGGAATGTTCACTTATTCAACGAGTATACACGATATTGACATGAGTGTCGACTATTCTGTAGGCATCTGCTCCAAGTTAGCGCACTTTATGGTATAGATAGTTGTCAATTCAACAATTAAAGTCATCGACTATGATAATATTCCATTTTTTTTCATATGAACATAGATGCGGAAAAAATGATTTCAATATTGTTTATACGAATTTTATCCTGCGCACGAATAACTGTCTACCGATGCATGAACCGCACGGATGGAAAAGCTATCTAT